TTTCCAGTTGAAGTCTCTTCCCTCACTTTGAGGCTGTAACCTCTCCACAAACCATACAGGTACTGGGAACACTTTCATATGTACTGAAACAACATTTTCGGCCAGTATGTCCATGTGGACAGGTTACTACCCATATAGGTTCTTCTTAGCTTCAACGACAACCAAGCCATGTTGTCTGATTCAGGAAAAAGAAGCCTCTGGTCTTTCACCGTGCAAGAGATGGCCCATTACTGAGTTGTATAATAACTTCAGTCTCATGACAAGAAAAAGATAAAAAAAAAAAAAAAGAGAAAGAAAGAAAAGTCAAATCCCAACGCTGTATAGAACGAAAGTCAGAATTTGACATCTATACCTCCTACGCGAGGTTGCCAAGTGTACCTTGATGGCCAAGAAGGGTGAAACTTCGGTGCTCTGCTTCCTTGGCATCCTCGGTAACCGCTCCGGCTTTCGGAGTCCGCCGATTCACATGCCCCCGGACAGGATCCATCCCAACACGTCACTCCTCAAAGAACGTGTCAACGAGTAGAATCCACTCATTCTTGGAAGACATTGTTGATATCGAGTTCTCTTCACTGGTGCTGTTAGTTGGGAAGATGGGATGAAGGAGCAAACGTCTTTTTGCTGATGTCTCTAACGCGGTGAAGAGACTTTGGAAGAGACGCGGGAAGGTGCAGAGCGAGTCTTATATTGTCTCCAAGTCACTCACCAAGGTAGACTGTAGGCGGGTCAAAGTTGCCATTGAATGTATCGAAGACGATAGAGGTATATATACAATGACAACGTATGTTAGAAGGAAGAGGCGGTAGGTCGCCTGGGCTTCCACGTACACCCCGTTCAGTGGAAAAGCCAGTACCAAACTTCTTTCATACTCGTCGGCGCCAATCCGAAGAATACGTGCGTAAATAAATCAAACATCGAAATGACCGAGGTTACCGGCGTCCGTCAACTCGCGGCTACGGGTGTCGCTGCTGCGGGCCGTTACGTGATGTCCTCACTGGCATGTCAAGATGCAGTGGTTCATGTTGCATTGGAGCGGCCTCGAACCCTGGATAGCATCAACAGCTTCTTCCCGGGAGCCCTGGTCCATTGGTCCGTTTATCGGACACTAGCAGACGGAAGCGGATGGGGCAGCCGAGTCGTGGTGAGGCCAAGCGCCCGAGACGAATGAAAGAACCCCGAATTACCACGCCCACAAGCACCACTTGCTAGCCGGGAGTTTCAACGCCATGTTTGGAGAAGAACATCATGTTGTCGATCGAATTCATCCGTGGGCTCTATTCGAAAATACAGGGCACTGCCTGGCTTCCAAACTAAGCGTGAATGTCAATGGCAGGCGGCATTATCCAATTCCACTCTTCACACAAATTTTCGGTCCCGCTGACTGAGTGTGTGTGTCAGTTTCCACGGGCATGTGTCCCTGCCCCGCACAGATCTTCTCAAAAGTTTACGGAAAGATACACCCCGGACTTTGTGCCTGCCTGCGCGCTTGCTTCCCGCTGTCCACATCCCGTCTCCGTTCGAAGCCCTCAGTCACCTTGTTCGATTTTCAATTTGGATGAGAGGCCCCCTGGGTGCTTGAGACCCTCGTACAGGAGTTTGTGAGTCACTACGAGAATATTTGGAGCTGTACCTTGTTTGGCAATATCTTTTCGTCTTATAAGTAGCCGGACGGAGGCGGTGTTTTCTGCCATCTTTCTTTTCATCCCAAAGAAAGTCTATAGACTGTCCAGTGAATTGCCTTAGGCCTGGCCTCATCCGCAAACCCTTTTCGTTAGGAGCTACACTACCTTGCTACTTATTGTGCCTTCCATCCGCTCACCTTGGCTTCGGTGGCTGCAGAATTTCTTTGTTATTGACTCCCCTTCCACCCCATTCCCACTAACGCCTTCCTTGTCGCCTCTTCCCAGGCCAATCACAGTGTCCAATCATACGTTTGCCAACAGGGTCTTGCCTGCCTTTAATTCGCCCTCACCTGGACTTTAAGCTCCTTCCTCTGCCGAGATTCTTTCCTCTCGACCTTGCCAAGCAAAAGTCAAATCACCTCCGTCGACCAGAGTCATTCTTGAACTCAGTTTTCTTGACAGCCTCACCTCTCGACTTCTCCTTCTACACAATCACGGTTTAACTCACTTCAACCTCAACCATGGTCGGCCCTGATATGGTGGCCCTTCGGGCTGATGACACAAGAGGTATGAGCATCATCTCCCAAGCACCCGCGCGGATTATCACAAGCTCGGTGGGCATCATGACATCGACACAGTCGGGACTACATATACCTGCGGTGTTCTAAACTGAGCAAATGCCCAAGTTCTTGCGTGCTTTGACTACTCGCACTAACTAGAAATTTCACTATTTGCTACAAATTCCAAGCACTGTGACTAACACTATCTTTGTTTTCCAGTCGAGGGACAGGATCCCCTCATCCCTCCTGCTCTTCTCATTTCCGAGATTCCCATGACGGATGCCGCTCTCGAGACTGTTGTTAAGGGTAGGAAGGAGGCCGTAGGTGTCATCATGGGCAAGGATGACCGTCTCCTTGTCGTTGTTGGCCCCTGCTCCCTTCACGATCCTGCCACAGCTCTCGAGTACTGCAGCAGGCTCAAGGCTCTTTCCGAGAAGCTCAAGGACGACCTCGTTATTGTGATGAGAGCCTACCTCGAGAAGCCTCGCACGACCGTCGGCTGGAAGGGTCTCATCAACGATCCCGATATCGACTCTTCTTTCAAGATCAACAAGGGTCTTCGTATCTCCAGACAGCTTTTCTGCGATTTGACCTCTGCCGGTATGCCTATTGCTTCGGAGATGTTGGACACCATCTCCCCTCAGTTCCTTGCCGACTTCATCTCTGTCGGCGCTATCGGCGCCCGTACTACCGAAAGCCAGCTTCACCGCGAGCTTGCCTCTGGTCTCTCTTTCCCTGTCGGTTTCAAGAACGGAACCGACGGAAACCTCGGTGTTGCCATTGATGCCATTGGCGCTGCCGCGGCTAAACACCACTTCATGGGCGTTACCAAGCAGGGCTTGGCCGCTATCACCCGCACCAAGGGCAACGAGCACGGTTTCGTTATCCTTCGCGGTGGCACCAAGGGCCCCAACTACGACAAAGAGAATGTTCAGGCTGCGAAAGAGACTCTCATCAAGAAGGGCCAGAAGCTCGCTATCATGGTCGACTGCTCTCACGGTAAGTCTCCCACAACCTTGACACTTGCACATTCCAACAGTGACTGACAAAGACCAGGCAACTCCAACAAGGACCACCGCAACCAGCCCAAGGTTGCCAAGGTCGTTGCCGACCAGATCCGCGAGGGCGAGAAGGCCATCATTGGTGTCATGATCGAGTCCAACATCAACGAGGGCAACCAGAAGGTTCCCGCTGAGGGTCCCTCGGCGCTCAAGAAGGGCGTCAGCATCACCGATGCCTGCATTGACTGGGAGTCCACTGTCTCGACCCTCGAGGAGCTCGCTGAGGCGGTTCGCGAGCGTCGTGAGGTGAACGGTGGCCTCGCCAGCGGTGTGGCTACCCCCAAGCCCAACCCTCTTGAGGAGGACTAGAGGTTTTCTTCCGAAGAGAGTAATGAAACTGGGGTTAGAGAGGCAGTAATGCAGGGAGAGCTGTACCAAGAGACTGTGCAGTGGATACCGCATGTGATGCAGCCTGATGATATCGAGGAGCTGCCCCATCCGTGCGAACAGTTCTGAAGGCATTCAAAAGGAAAACGGGTCATTAAAAGTTCTTGCTTGTAGTTTCACATATGGCGGGGAACCAAAAACAGACACGACTATGGAGTCAGTGGCGAGCAGTAGGAATAGCATCAATGCCTACTAAGACATTGGAGAAGCATACATATTGATACCCATATGGATGTCTGAACCTCTATTCTCTCTTCGTTTCGCAGAACGGAGCCAGCTCAGGTGACTGTTAATGAGAGATTGCGAGACTCTATCGCGATAACAGTGCGTTGTTCTATACTAATATGGAAGGCTTTGGTCAGTAAATTTTTACTCAACCGTAGTCTGACGTTCCCTTAGTTGTCTTCATATGAGAAGGCCATCGATGTCCATCCTACTATGTCGGGCTTTGACGCGTGCTGTAATCCACGTATTCGGCAGACGTTGCAATGACTCTGGCCCAACTACACTTGGATGCCAGAGGATCGCTTCAAGACCTTCATGTACTAAACAACCAATCCAAACAGCTTGGTATACTGCACGTTAAAGGTGGGGATCAAGATCATACGGTTCATTCAGCAGCTCTTGACCAAAACAGAAGGATCATGTGAGATAAGCGTACGATCATCTAGGTGTCTTTTGCTCTCAGTGAACGTCCTTTTAAAAAGCTACCTTTACTTACTCAAATCCAGCCATTAATACCTGCCGGTATATACGTGATCTCGCTATATAACCCAATCAGAAGCTTAACATCCAGATCATCCTCACTCTCAGAGAGCAGTAAGTTCAGCTAGGCCACATCGTTCTCGACTTCAAGCTTCTGAGCTAGTCCATGCATGCCCTTTCAGCTTAGATCCTGAGAAGAGGTATAACTAAGCAGCACACCTCAGCCGGCACACCTCAGCAGGCTCAGACAGATCTCCGATAGATCCAAAGTCATGAGGATGTTATATCAGTCCTCAGCATATTTGCACCCCGATCACTTGCTTCACCAACCAGCTCACGCGCACGTTCAAGCACATGGTAAAACCCCAATTCCTAACCCATAACGCCCCACACAAACCACAAACAGACATAACATTTCATTATCTCCCCATCCTACAATTTGACCGAGTTCAGCGCCCTCCCCCTCCAAGGAGACTATATGCCCCCTGTCCTGTACCTCCTTCTCCTCCTCCTCCTCCTCCTCCTCCTCGCCCTTGCCCTCCTGCTCCCCCGCTAAAAGCCCTCCTGAATAACCCCCTCCAATCCCCCCAAGCCACCAGCGCCAGCACCAGCATTCCCACCAGCCCTACTGCCTCCGATACCACCAGTCCCCCCAAGACCACCCATCAATCCCGACCTCCCCGGCCTCCCCCAGCACCTCCTCCCCCTCCTCCAAAGCCAGAAACCCGTCCCTTCTCCAAAACCCTCCTCACCCCCGCCCACCCCAACAGCCCCGCCGTGCTCAAAATGAACCCCCAGACAATGATCTCGTCTTTCCTGCTATCTCGCTGAAAACAGGTCGTCGTCACGTCCTTCTCTTCGGCGTCTTTGCAGATCGGCAGGTTGTATTGCAGGCAGAATGCGCGGTTGCATTGGGTGCAGGAAGACGAGGCTGCGCGTTTGGATCCACCAAGATGGAGGAACTGCGATTGATCGTTCGGGGAGCGTGGGCTGTTTGGGGGTAATGCGGTAGCGGTGATGGTCGCGGTGGGTTTGGACGGTGGTGGTGGTGGTGGTGGTGGTGGTGGTGGTTGTTGAGGATTGTTGTTGGCTGGGTCGTCGGGTTGAGGGCCGAGACGGATTATGGTGCTGTTGGAGAAGCAGGTGCATTTGCAAAATGTTGGGGCGGCTGTGATGAGGAAGATAGGTGTTAGTAAAGTAGGTTCCATGGAGATGGGAAGACACGGCAAGGCAAGAGGAAAACGTACAGGCGCTGACGAGGGAGAGAAGGGAGAGGACGAGGATGGTCAAGATGTGTATTCGCGCCATTGATGTTGGTTGATTGTGTGACGGTAGATATTAATAAGGCTGAATACAGTAATGAGGATCACAAAGCGTTATCGGCGCATTGGTTTCATTGAATGGAGGTTGTGAACGTGGAAGATGGAAGAGCTTCGGTTGAAACTGCTTGGTCGCAGCGACTCGATCTCGGCGGCCGCGCGCAGGCCGGTCGGAGGGCTGATTGACCGGGCCCTTGGGGACGGCGAACTCGGAGACTGGTATATCGGACGGAAGTTGTCTGGGCGACCTGTCGGATCGTTGGTGGTTCGGCGCAAACAATGGGTAAGAGAGCTCCGTCGATCACGTCGCGGGAAGCGGCCGGCGGGGGTGGCAGGGCCGCAAGGGTCGAGGTAATCAGTGGTCCGGTTGAGTCGATCGCAAATGCCAAGCCATTTCCTTCAGTTTGCCTGCCGCCCGCCTTGATGCGCCCTGGCGCCACACTACGTAGTACCAGTGGCAGGTGCCTGATCATCAGCAGCCGTTACAGCCTCAGCTCCACTCAAAAGCCACCCAGCCCCACCAAAAATTGCACTCATGCACAGACCACTCACACCCGTCTCCCAAGGGTATAAGAAGCCCTCTACCCCATCCCCCTTCTTAGACTTTTCTTTTCTACTTTTTTTCCTCGCCCTTCGGGGCAATTTGGTCAATTTGAAACGATACAGAGAAGATTAGCATGGCCCCTGCACTAAGGATGACACGCTACTCAAAGAGACGCTACCAATTTTTTTTTTTTTTTTTTCACTTTGTTTCCCAGCTTTTAAGGGTTGGGACATTGGGAAGAAAAGTCTTGGTATAATCTTCGTTGGCGGATGATGTTTCTGAAGCTGTCACTTGGTTGAATTCTAGTTTGACTACGTACTTCGTGTCTTGCAGCGCTGGCTCCATGTTGCGACAAAGTGAAATTGCATCCCACGCTATGCTAAAATCACTGCGAAATCATCGTCAAAAATTTCCCATCCGACACGTGCATTTGCCGCACGCCGTCCTCTTATGCCACTACTACTGGATGTCCTCGCATGAGCGTCTAACTAACCGTGGCATGTTTCGCACATCCTCCCGTCATTAGCTCACTCAGTCAGTCGTCTCTGTCCCAGTTGCGATTGCCTTCAATTTCTCGTGCGCGGTGACACCGTACTCAGCTTGTGACTACAAAAGTATCAAAACAAGAATTGGACCACTTCACGAAACAGGACATCACATATCATAGAACCACCAGCTTAAATATTAAATCTACACATAATGCATGCGCTCGTCCCTGACAATATTGATGAGACCTTTAACTTTATACCTGGGGTATACTCTAACTACACATCCAAGCGTCCTTATTGCACCTTTGAACTTGATATCTACACATTTCCTGCATAGGAATATTCCAAAGGGACTCTAGCCGACGTGTTTTCGAACCATTATAAATTATAATCCCTATTACAATCTTGCAATAACCATCCGTAACTATAACGAGCGGTATCAGACTGGTTCAACTTGACCAATTGATTGACGCCCGCTAAGCACAGGTCTCGTCTGTCATAGAAGACGAGATGCGATAAGCCATCCGCAAACCCTGGGTATCGTGTCCGCCTTCAAAGCCAGTCAAACAAAAGAAATTTTGCCGCTCCAAACGCCCTGATAATGCCGTGAACTCTCCATCGATCTTGCGAGGACCCCTACAAAACTCCCCTGGCCTCCAAACCTTCTTGTCATTCGCACTCTGGTTCACTCCCTCTGTTTTCAGAACCATGTCCGCCACCAGCAAGGGGCGAAACCACTCTGACAAGGCGCTGAATGATCTCGATGTCGATCCCTAAGCCAGACCAGCAGTAGCACTCATCCGACTCAACCTTCGCTCAGCCTTTGTAGTCCCATTGGCAAGAGGACTGGCCGTGGGACTGACGTTGGACTCGGCAAAGTCAGCCGTGGCACTCGTTCGGCTCGCTCTCCGTTCTGCCTTTGTAGACGCAGTGGCAGGAGGACTGGGCATCGGACTTGTACTGGCGTTGCCAATGGGGATGTTGTCGTTAAAGCTGGTACTGGTATTTGCCCTCGCAGGCGTACCAGGCATACCCTTACGAAGCTTGTTCGTCTCCTTATCCGACGACATTCCAAACCAATTCTTCTTCATGCTCGTCTTTCTAATATCCGTCCAACCCAGGAAGAAGGCAGTCAACACCGCGAGCACGCCGAAGCCCGCCGCCAGGTAAAACACGTTGTGGACGCCCTCCAGATAAGCGCGCATGACGTGCTTCAATAGGTCTCCCATCTTCACCAGCTTTTCGCGGTCCTCCGGCTTGGGACTCAGGCCAATAGTGCCGTTGTTGATCAGCGCCTCAACTTCCTCGCGGGACATGCGGCGCTCCAGGGCCATGGTGATGGAGTGCGCGAAGATGTTGTTGGCGAAGGCAAGGACGAGGGCGGTGCCGAGCATTTGGGTGAACATAAGCAGGGTGATGGCGATGGTGGTGTCGATTGGGTGCATGTTGGCTGTCTGGACGGCGATGGTGGGCATTTGCGTGCCGAAGCCGCGGCCGGCACCGTTGATAAGTTGGTAAACGGCGATAATGCCGAAGTGGGTGCCGCTGTCGATCGTGGACATAAGACCGCAGCTGACGGAGCAGAGAATGCCGGCGGTGACGGCGTAGGGGATTATGTAACCGGTTCTCTCGACTGGAAAGTGATCAACTTGTTAGCATTGTTAGCGAATTAGGGAGATCAGAAAGTATGACTTACCCAAGAAACCTCCCGCGATGCCAAAGAACAGCTGAGCGCCAAAGCCGGGCAACAGTTCGAGACCGCTGATGGTGGGCGTCTTTCCCTGAACCGACTGGAAGAAGATCGGGAGAAAAAAGGACATGCAGTACACCGTTGTCATGATGAACCACTGTGTCAAGGCGCTGGCCCAAACGACGCGCTTTGTCATGGTGGTGACTGGCAGCAGAGCATTGTCGCCCTTCCTGTAGTTCCAATATCCCCAAACGCCGAAGAGCAGAACAGAACCGCACAGCGATCCGAGGATTGCGCCACTACTCCAGGAGAAAGGCCCGCTAAGCTGGGCGGTGGTGAGAACCCAGACGAACAGGAAAACGGCGGGAGCCAGAAGTGCAAAGCCGAGGAGGTCGAATTCGCGGTGCAACCTCCTGAGAACCCTCCACGGATGAGGCTTCTCAATCTGCTCCGGAACCTGCATGAACATGACCGGGAAGAATAAGACCATACCGACTCTGAGGTTGATCTTGAAGCAAGCGCGCCATCCATCCTTGGTGTGTTGTGTCAACAGTCCTCCAAAGAGCGGTCCGGCTCCAACACCCATCTGAGCAAAGGCAATGACGCAACCAATGACGGACGCACGGCGCCTAGGGCTGGTGATGGCGGTGATGATTGTGAGACCGCCGTTCCAGATGCCGCCCGCTCCAAGACCCATGACCGCTCGGCCTGCAATCAGCATGCCCGAAGTTTGAGCTGCCCTGCAGATGTAGGATCCAACCATGAAGATGAGAAGGAAGAAGTTGAAGGTCCATTTGGTACTGAAACGGGTGTAGATCTTGCTGGTCAAAGGCAAGACGCAGGCATTGGCGAGCTGAAAGGCAGTCGCATACCAAGCTACATTCTCTATGCTCTTGAATTCGGTTGAGATAGTCGGAATCTTTGGCAGCGTTAGCGCTTTGAGTCTAGGTATGTAGGAAGCGCAGAGAGACTTACGGCGGTGGAGAGAATGGAGGTATCGAGGATCATCAGGAAAGCCGCAACCGTAACGCAGATAAGAGCCACCCAGAAGTTGACGCGGGGTACCCATCTGAGCAAAGTTGTCGAAGCCTGTGAGAGAACGCTCATGCGATTGGCGTTGCGCGCAGTTCGGTCCTGAGGCGGACGCTCTTCAACGGGAACGTCGACCAATTCCACCTCGTCCATCGATGAGGATGGCGCCGGTTTGGCGCGCGGCGTAAAGGGCGTCATGGTTAATTTTCTGATAGCATCCGGATACGAACAATACAGCAATTGCGCAACTGAAGTGATATCAGGCAAATGCTGTTAAAAGCGGGAGGGTTCCGGGATCGCGACGATCGGGTCGAAATTAGAATTGACAGCAGGGGGCAGAAGCTCGGGAAGAAAAAAGAAAGGTGGCCAAGCCGGCAACCCCGAACTCCCTTCACTGGACGGAGGTTTTGTCCACGGAGAAAACTTTAGACGACTCCCAGGTCTCCTCCCAATGCTCGTCACCTCGTGGCCCAAAACCTTAACGGCCCGGTAGAAGAGCCCGCCAAAATCAGCGGTTTGATAAGTATCCGGATGGCCCAAATTCACACAGTGACTGACGCACTTGGTGCCGTTTCAAAACGTACATCGGCCTCATGTAACTAAAAAGCAAGGTGGCCAAGAATTCATAAAAATATGTAATGACTTGGAAGCCGTTAGCAAAAACATGGCCATGGACAGGGAGCAGAAGCAGCCAGCTGGACGCGCGGGAGATCTCCCTGATATCTCCGGGGGGGGGGGCTTGAAACCCGACAATAGTCGGAAGCATAGGTTTTGCAGACAGGCATAAACAATTAAACCATAATGCTCGACCCTGTTTGCTCTCTGCATCGTTCATAGAGACAATCACGGTTGAGCCGATCGGCGAAGGCGTCGGTTGACAGTGGGCAGAACGTCGACGTACTTCACTTGACATGCTTGGACGTTAGTAGCTGCCCTCCAACCATCCATACTGTCTATTCCTTATGAAGATAAGCGCAACATCGTGTATTGGTCTCTCTTGGCTGACAAGTCGGCGATTGTCGCAAGGTTCCGGACGGCGTAATCCAGGTTCCAGAAAACACGAGGGGTATCGCGCAAGGCGTAGCACTCCTACGTAAGAATAAAGCCATGAAATCAATTGAAGCCGAGGTAAGCATTAGGATGAGGTAGGTAGTCATAGAACATCCCGATCGCAGCGGACAGTCCAAGTCAATAGAATGGCATGGTGTTGATGTGGTGATGGAACGTCGTTGTTGAGTGTGGAGTGATCTTGAGGCTGATGGGCTTCCCGTCCTGCCGTTGCAACCAAACCCCTGTCAGGTCCATGCCCAGGCGGGCACTGTCACTCAATCCCCCCGGCCCCCACTCATCAGTGGGACCATCACAGTGAATGGCTCGTGCGCTCCATTGCCGGCCGGCAACGTTTGCCCTCACCCCATGTCTCCTTGACCTGAAAGTGAGGTATTGAAGATCAATACAAATACCTTTTTATTACCCTTAGGTGATGAAGAATTGGTGACCTGCTGAGGTCAAATCACCGGTATCCTCTCCCACCCAGACACTCAAGTCCGAACACATGACCGCAACTTCCAGCACTGAGCACTTTGATCTCTATGAAGTTGCTGCTTTCTGGTCTGATGTTTCTGTCTTTTGGAAAATGAGTGAGTCGAATCCGGCTCCACGACGGCGCGGCATGTTCAGCTGAGCTTGTAAATGTTTATCACATCTGCATGCTGCCAAGTGACTAGACCTCCATGGGTATAGAACAAGCAATACCTACCTACCTACCTATCTACCCCTAATATCGATATGGGAAAAGCGCCATTACAAATCCAGTCTCGAGAGGATTGTCCGGAAGAGGATCGGAGTCTGGACACCGACTGGCCCCTGTCGTCGAAGAAATGAAATCGGCAACCGTATGGGCGGATCGCGCTAGAACAGCCGATGGTGGGCAGGTGCCGGTTGGGGTTGGCGCCTGGTGGCTGCTGTCCATTAGTGGCAGGTGCCCCTGAAGGTCGATCCCAGGAAAACACCCGACGGACCATTGGAGCGCCGTGAACCTTTCTGGCCACCCACCACCATCTCCAGCCATCGCCATGATGCCGGCCGGCGCGCCCTGGTCTGAGGTCATTTCCCGTTTGGTCCACTTTCACTGTCCATTTCTGTGTCTGTTGACCAGCATTCGGCTTCTCGACTTTATTGCTTCTGTCGTGTGCTTCGTTCGTCATCTCATTTACGGGGCGGGCAGAAGAAGGGGCCAAGGGGAAAAAAAAGAAAGGCGTCTTCGACGGATTCCCGATATCGAGTCCTCCAGTGCCAGCCCTGATACTACCTACCTACCTTACCCTACATGTCTATCTCTATCCCGCGATCTCCTATTCTCCCAGACTCCGACGTCGACCTTCTCCTTCCCCCGTCACTCACACCATTTGGCATCATCAACCTGCCCCTTGCCAAGTTTCATTTACTTGCTATTTTTGCTTTGCTATCATTCTGACTTACATATCGCTACATATCATATTCTTGCTTCTTCTTAGTACCTAGTGCCTCGGTCTGTTGGACACTGCCTACCTACTAGGTATCCAACGACACCGAGCTCTCCACCCGACCTTCTGCACAACATCCTGCATCCGCCCTTGCATGAGAGCCGGTTCAGGTTGCGACTGCATGAATCCGCATCATCCACCATCCAAGGAACGCCAGGAACCTTCCCCGTTGACAAGCACGACCCTTGTCTTGAAAGACTTGCTCTCGACCAATCCTTATGCATTAGGCCTTCGTACCTAGTGTAGGTACTCGACAAACCAACTCCTCCAACGAGAACTTGTTGCACTCCACCGAGCTCGGCCCAGCGAAACATCGTCAAGATGGAGAACAACTCGCAACCCCCCAGCTCCCAGCCCAGACCCAGTGGTCTTCCTCGGCCGTCGAGACTCCCAGTTCCCGGTCAATCCAGGCTACCCGTCCCACGATCGACCTCGCTCCGGAAATCGCCATCCCAGGAGTCCCTGCCCGCGGACTCTGGCCCAGCCGGAACCTCGTTGCAAAGCCCGAGACTTCGATCTACCACTTCCCGCGACCAATTGACTTCGACCACCACGTCGAGGAGGCCCCAATCCATGCTCATTGCGCCTTCGAGGGTTGCTTCGTCTGCCAATTGTGCCCGCGCTGCTTCACGCCAGGGACAGTCCCAAGTACCGCCGAGCACTACAAGGACAACAAATCGACACAGCACCTATATTTCCCCATCATCGTCGAGAGCCTCCGTTGTGGCATCTTCCGTTGCCACTTCTCGGACAAGCCAGACACCACAAACGCTAGCATCCAGACGACAGTCCGCATACCAGCCCTTCTCGGCGTCCACAGGCAGCCATGCTTTGCACGATACCGAGTCGATAGTTTCTGATGACAGCCCAACTTCTGCAGTCAGGTCAAACTCGACGTTGATAGAGAGGACGATCGAGACCTTGTCTCAGTTGCCCTCTTCGCCATCAGTGAGGGGCAAATCCGCTGCTTCTTTCTATAGCGATGGGATACCCAAGGGAAGAACTTCGTCAAGACCAACGAGTAGGCTTTCTCGACCTGGATCGAGTCATCAATCACATGAGTCTCTCGGTGCTTCGTCCAACCATGGGAGCAGGCCTGGCTCACGGCTGGATAGTGAGGATGATGGCTCCAGCTTCCACGGAACATACGGTTCTTTGAGGCCACGACAGGGCGTCCAATCATTCAATGCGCCAGCGGCAAGGAAAGCCACCTCACGGGCGTCTCGAATGTCTCTCTACGGGGATCTACCGTCATCTGCCATTGATAATCAAAGCCCCAAGACACCGAGCACTGAGAGAACGAAACCCGCAGCACCGCGCCCCCTTGCCAAGCGAACAGCTGTCTATGGCCTCTCAAAGAAGCCATCTGGGGCCGGACTGGAAAAGGGGACGCAGGGAACGGCGCCTAGAAAAGTATCTATGGCGTCGCAAAGGTCGGCGGCGACATCTTTTGAAGGAAGTGTGTCAGCATCATCTGGAAGCACAGCAACCTCTGCCGATTCGACTGAGTCCTCCCCAGCCCAAACCTACCGGAAAGCCTCATCCACGTTGCGCGAACAGATCGCAAAGGCGAAGGCTGCGGCCAAGAAAGCTGCAGTCCAGCCAATATCCGAGTCTGCCCCTGCCGTCGGACACAAGTCATCTGGCTTTGGATCTTTTGGTGACGATTTGGGCTTTGCTTCGCATCACGATCCTTTCAACCAGCACAAGAATGACCAGTCACAGGCCAAGGTCCTACAGGCACGTTTTGCTACTGCAAGAACTAGCGGGCGCCTCAACATGGCTGCGATGGGTCTTAAAGAGATCCCGATTGAGGTTCTGGAGATGTATAAGCTTGAGGCTATCGGCGCCACTGGCGGGGCTTGGGCCGAGTGTGTTGACCTGACGAGATTTGTGGCTGCGGACAACGAGCTTGAGATAATTAGCGATACAATTTTCCCCGATGTTGATCCACAGGAGATGGTGGATGATGAGGACAGTGAGGGCAACATCTTTGCAGGACTCGAAACTTTGGATCTCCACGGGAATATCCTGGTGACTCTTCCAATGGGTTTCAGGCAACTTCGCCTGTTGACCTCCCTGAATCTGGTACGTGCTTAGATCACCACGCTGTATTGGCCAGTTACTAACTGTTTATCAGTCCTCAAACAGGCTGGCAAATAGCTGCTTGGAGGTGGTGTCGCAAATCACCACCCTCAGAGATCTGAAGCTCGGCGGTAACCTCCTCTACGGTGAACTCGACCCTTGCTTTGCGAACTTGGAGAATCTTGAGATCTTGGACTTGCACGGTAACAACCTCTCTTCGCTCCCTTCCAACTTCGGCAACCTCTCTCGCCTTCGCGTTTTGAATGTTAGCGAAAACGCCTTTGCGTCTTTGCCTTTTGCTACTTTGGCGAAAATGCCCTTGACCGAGATCAACGCGCGCAAGAACCAGATCAGCGGTACACTGATTGATGATTCGGTCGATTCTCTTCCGTATCTACAAATCTTGGACGTTTCGTCGAACCAGCTCGTCCGTCTTTGCTCCCCGACAAAGGCCATCACTATGCCTGCCCTGCTCCAAATCTGCCTCTCCATGAACCGCCTTCAGGATTTGCCCGACATTGGAAGCTGGGCCAAGCTGCATACGATTGCCGCCGATGAGAACAATATCAACTCTGTTCCGGAAGGTTTTGCCAAACTCAAGCATTTGAAGTCTGTCGATTTCTCAAGTAACGACATCCGTATTATTCCTAATGAGGTGGGACGGATGGAGAACTTGATGATGCTGCGCCTCAGCGGTAACCCTCTGCGGGAGAAGAAGTTTAGCACAATTAGTACGGAGGAGATGAAGGGTATTCTAGCTCTTCGGCTCGAGCCACGTGAGGACACTTCTGCCTCCAAGGTGAATTCTCTCCTCGAGGTGTCTTCTGTCTCCGAGGTGGAGGTTGTCAGCCCCAGTGATGCCGGCTTGAAAGGTCCTGATGTGAAGGAGCTCACCATTAATACCACTGAGACTTTGCCCAAGACCAAGAAAGCTCCGGTTGGGAACAACGCTTCTAAGCCGAAAGAGGCTATCGTTACGAATACCGCCACGTTTGAACACGACCAGCTTATTGATGAAAACGACGATATCGACGACAGCCGATCTGATACGGACCATTACGCGACACCCCCTACTTCCGCCCGGGCCTCTCCAACTCATTCCCGCTCTCAAACATTAACGGAGGAGATCTGGCCCGTTAAGTCCGGTGGAGTTCTTGACCGTTCTGGCACACAATCCTCTTCACTCCACCCCGTCATCTCCTCTAGGGTTGCTGCCGAACACAAAGTTTACGAAATCCAGCTTCACCACAACCTCTTTACCGCGTTTCCCGAATCGCTCTCTTTCTTCGCCGCAACTCTGACCCACTTGAACTTGTCACACAACGAACTCGTAGCTGAGAAATACCTCGGAGGACTAAGCGGCAATGATCACCTCGAACTCCGCGCCCTCAGGGAACTGAACCTTAACCACAACCACATCTCAAGCCTAGAGCCGTTGCTTGCTCACCTGCGTGCCCCAAACTTGCAAAAGTTAGATGTTAGTTTCAACCGCATCTCCGCTCTGCCCGCCGGCACCGCTCTTCGCGACGCGTTTCCGAATCTTGTCGTCCTCACCATCTCCAACAATCACTTGTCCGAGCTGGATCCGGAATCGATCAAGGGTATGCATGTGGTGGACGCGGCCAATAACGATATCGCACATCTGAACCCTCGTATTGGACTTTTGGGCGGAAGCGGTGGGTTGGAGAGGCTGGACGTTAGTGGCAATAGGTTCCGCGTACCCAGGTGGAGCGTTTTGGAGCGCGGGACAGAAGCGACGCTCAGGTGGTTGAGAGGAAGAGTCCCGGTTGCGGAGAAGGCGGCGTGGAGGGGGAAGGAGGGCGGTGATGAGGATTCTGATTTGGATTAAGTGGTGGGTACGCTCATGGATGGGGCATGGAAAGAAGAGGATTCCACATCTAGGGGCAGTTGAGGGATTGTGAAGACCATATGATATACGATCATGGTATACACGGCAAGGGAAGGGAAAGGGCACCATTATTGTTGGAATACCGTCGTGTTATTACTGTTACACTTGGTTGTGCATGTAACACATGTTATGGATTATTAAATGTTATTGATGGGAGGACGAGAATAACGGCTAGCCCGGTGAGGCATGTACATATCTAGTTTACCAGTTTTTGTAATGGCTATTGCTAATTCAGTATGCTCGCTTCTTATGTTGACTCTGTTTGATTGCTGCATTTTGTGTTTCTGAGGCGCGAATGTACTTCGAGTCCTCGAGGATGATGGCTTTGATTCAGTTGAGCGTAACCGCCGCAATTCTGATGCTGGGGGACCTTGAGAGAGGTTGGGCACTCGCCCCGATCGAGTGGACAATACTGTCAAGTAACAATTACAAAGCTGAAGTGCCACTGTATCGTCGATACTCTAGCAGTCATGTCAACTTTGCTTAATTCAGGGGTAGGTATGGGGATACGTGTAACCCTAACCCAGAAATATCTCACCTTTCTGAAAGGGCCACGCTGGTCAGCGATGCAAGACAGGGGGTTCAATTAACGCGCCTACACTACATCCGTCAGCGCGCAGCCCGTCATTGCACTATACCCAGGCTCGAGCTTCCACTGCAGCAACAACCACAGTGTCCCCATTCATCGCTCATTTCCATTCCTCTTCGTCACCTCATTGCGACCCTTTGACTAGCATCACCAACCGTCGACAACTGTAAGTCAAATCGCCCCTTTCTGCTGCACGGAACGGATGGTGCGTTGCTGAGTTCGAGACGGGAATCGACAAGCTAACCAAATGTCGTGTGGTAGACTCTCCTTTTCTCAATTCAACGGTCGATCGGCAACCTCGCGTCTCCAACAACGAACCGAACAGCACCTATCTATTACCTTGGACAAGTACACTACCGATTCAAGAACCGGAACCAGAAACACAAGAAACTGGGAGATTGCGGACGAACAAACAAACAATACGATCAATCCAACTACAGACTCGTCACAATGACCCGCGCACAGCAGACTATTTCTATTGCACTCCTTGTGAGCTCGGTACGTTTTTCCCGAGTTAAAGGTCGACCGAAGGGGATGAGGACGAGGGCAAGGACGGCGACGAGAAGGGCGACAGTGGCGACGATGATATGATGGCGAAAAGCGTCTTTCCCCTGCATGGTCCACGGCAGCGGCAGCAGCATTAGCAGAAGCTAGCAGCGACACGTTGGCCTCGTCTATACTTTGGTGCTGCGTGGTCTTGTGTCGTTGGGGCTGCCTTTCTGCCTCTCCTTCTCTTGCCTTCCGCCTCCTCCTCCTCCTCCTATCCTCTCGCTGTCTCTACCACATTGTCGACTACACCGTCTCCCACGGCCCGCCTTGTTTCTCGACCCGATCGATCAATCAACTGAATCAAGTTGCTAATCTCTCCTTTCCAAACCATAGCTCTACCTTTCCCTCTACCTCGAATTGGTTCCCCTCCCGGCTCTTGTCCAGACAGCGATTGTGCCTGTGGTATGTCTTATCCAGCCCTCCACCCCACCCCATTCCCCCAAATATCCAACACCCACGAGGAAACAACCGACCGACCGACCCCAGTGCATGTATATGTATGGCAATGATTGCTAACCATAACAAACATAGCTCCCCTTCTGGGCCCTCGTCTCCTTCGGCGCCTGGATCCTCTTCCGCCTCGGCTGGGGCATGCTCACCTTCCGCGACACGCCCGAGGCCTACAAGGAGCTGATGGAGGAGATCAAGCTTGCACAGGCGGACTTGAGGGCCAAGGGCGTCAGTGTTGATTAAGCGGTGTTGTTGCCAGCGGAAGGGGGCAAGATTGGTGAAATGGGTAGATACGGAATCATGCAAAAGAAAGAGGAAGAAATTATTGAGGAAGTTATGGGGTAATGTTTGGGTGGGTGCATGTGGAAGAGGTAGTGTCGAAAACAAGATAATGAGATCAAAGCAACGCTGTTGCAGGAGACGCGTGGTAAATGTGCCTTATAAGTGGTATTCCAGCCCTCAGGCACGCCGTGGAAGCTCGAAGAGGCCGTGATACATATAAGTCTGATGCTCCTTGACCCGAATACGTCTCGCAAACCAAGGTACTTCCAATTCCTTAGCCCGAGTAACATGCTTCTCTTATCAATCATGGTATGGATGAATGACCCCAGCCTATATGTGCAACCCCCAACTAGTGATACCATACTCCGTCAATACCCGTCTTTCGGGGGGTTGTTTGTTTGTTTTTGGCAAGGCAGGTATGCAAAACATGTACGACTACTCATGCTGGCTGATTTACTCAAACAAACCCTCAACACCATACAAGGGTATCCTATTTTCCACATCACCTCTGCGGTTGTGGCTCACCAGCCAACAAAGCCGCAACAGTCCTAACCGCACTCAACGGCTCTTCGCCGCCCTGAACGAGTTCGTCAAACAACGCCGGGATCTTGGCCAACTGTCCGCGCTCATCGCATTTGTGCCCTGTTATCGGTATATGGTCAGCAACTCATATATAATTCCACGAAAATATTCTCCCGCCCTATAGACGGATACGGATGCAAGTGCGGATGGGGAGTAACAAAAGAGTAATACTCACACTTCCCCGGCAACGCCACAAAAAGCCTGATGTCGCTCCTTGCCTCCCCCGTCCAGTCGAACTCAATCTTCCACTGTACCCTCAGCGAAGACTTTTCCGCCCTTTCTGGGCCACCAGCGCCACCCGGCTCGCCTCCTGAACCAAGTAGTAAGGGTATATCAAAATCCATACTCGTCCTGCTCATGTAGGGAACAAGTTCTTGCTCGGGTACTTTCTTCCCATCTAGTTCTTCTTCTTCCTCTTCCTCCTCCATTTCCTCCTCTTGTTGTTCATTCTCATCACTTCCCCCCTCTTCATCCCTTTTTCTTCCACCACCACCATCACCACCATCCCTCTCCCGATCTCGATTTCGACGTGGCGCCTTCCTCTTCCTGCTACCCTTCCCCACCCCCATCCTCGTCCTCCTTTTTTGCCTCATCCTACTCCTCTCCCTCCACCCTTCCACCATACTCCTCACCGCTTCCTTTCCCGAGTTCAACTCGGTTTCCAACACGCACCAGACCCTCGCTCTCTCTTTGGCAACGCGCACCCACTCGCCCATGGCCCAGCATAGCACGCTGACGTTGTTGTGCATTGCCGACGAGTTTGTACCTTCTTTGGACTGTTCGATGATGCGTTCAATCAGGGGCGCGAGCTCAGCGGCTGCGGTGGGCGGGTGGATTAGTGGTACCGAAAGGTCGGTGATGGAGAAGATGTTGGAGGTGTTGACTGTCAGCTCGAGACGGGCGGTGAAGGATTTGGATGGGGTGGTGGCTGTTATGTAGTGCCGTTGGAGGAGCGGCTGTTGGTCTGCTGCTGCTGTTGTTGCTGAGGAGACTAATGATGGTTCCGATTCAGACGGGGGAAGCGGAAAGATGGCCGAGGTGAAAGTCAATGGCGTGAAGATTTGGAGGTAGGGAAGCGCTTCGTCGGCGCTCATGGGAAGGGGGTGGTGAGATATCGGTGGTTTCTCGGCTTTCTCGTCGTCGACGGTAGAAAAGAGCGAGGGGAGATCGTCGCCGGTTGAAGGAGGTTTGCTGAAGGGAAGAAAGGCGATGGGATGGAGGGCTGAGGAGAGCCATGATGTTGCGGCGATGGACGGGTCGGGGTCTTTTTGCTCCTTTGGTGGGAGGGCTTGTCGGCGTAGGAGGTCGAGGATTTCGATCGCGTTCGGTGGTGTTGATGGTTTCTGCTTTGATAGGTGTGCTTGTCGGAGGCGCTCATTTTCCTTGCTTGCGACGGCTAGGTCGCGCTCGAGCTCGGCGATCTCAGCTAGAAGCGAATCGCGCAGTCGTTTCTTGTCCGCATCCGGATCAGGCGGTTGAAGCCCGCGCAGTTCAGCTGTTGTTGGCTCCTGAGCCTCGGCAGGGATCTCGGTCGTCGTGGGGATTGGGGCCGATTTCTCAGACGGCTTTCCTGGAACAAGAAGTTGTGCTGTCTTGGCCGACATGACGGGGGCGCGCTTAGTAGGCGAGGAGCTCCTAAGTGTCTCGGCCAGTGCTTTGCTGCGCCTCGGTCTCTTAGACGGGGTATTGTGAATACCAGAAGGCGGAGTGCTGACAACTGGATCGGGATGTTCTGGGGTCGGCGGAAGGTCGGGTTCGGGGACGATTACTTTGGGCAGAACTCCGGGAACGGGCGATCGGTGCAAACCTCGGCCACGGAAAGGGTTTAGGATTACCTCATCATCTTCGGGCGCGGGCGGTGGAAGAGGGCGCGGGTTCGGTCGCTCTGGGCTTTTGGCGATTCCTGGTCGTCTGGCGGGAGATCGTAGCGGATTGTTGTCGTGCGACTCGGATTGGGATCTGAGAGCAAGGCTTAGACTCTCTCGTCGTTGTAATACTTCGGGATTATGCCTCTGAAGGCTCGCTTTCGTCGGAGATGCATATGATGGACGCTTTGTGGATGTATCACCGGACGACGCTGGAGCAGGCGTGTCCTCTGGAGTGGTCTGGTTTGGCTGCTGTGTTGTGGGAGCTTCATCGGATGGAACTGGAACTGAGTTGCGCGGCGACGTTCTGCGCCGCTTGGGCGCTGGGTCCTCCATCACGCGTTGTCGTCTTGTAAGTTGGTGTTTCAGGATCGCGACATCATTCTGAAGAGTTCCAGGACCGTGGGCGCGTTGGATCGCGTGTTGAGTCGGGCTTTGACGAGCTTTCGTTCCTTGGATGTGTGTGTGTTTTTGTTTGGTTCACGAGCTGGCAATGTCAATGTTCGGTCATGTCAGTTCAAGACACACGGGCCACATGGGCGGGCAGCTTGAGGATTGCCAAGACTTGTGAACATGCTTCCCCAGAATGGCCCAAGCTTTGGACCACCATCACCCTTCTTTCAAGTCACACTCTACACTAGACGAGAGGTTGGAACAAGATGCAGAGAGTGGAACAAGGTACAATACCGAGAATTCAAAAACTACCGTACAGATATATAATAAAAGCCAAAAGAAATCGGACGCAGGTAAACCCCGGATGGACCAAAAGCGCATTGGGAAGGGATTCGTAAAGGCTTGAAAACATCAAGGTGTTGGTTGACTGTTTTGACGAGAGCAAAAGGTGTCAATACCAGCAAAAAAACAAGTTGAGGACTGAACGCGATTTGAACGCGTGACCGTTCGGACTGTCTACCCCTGAGCTACCGGTCCTGTATTGTGGCGTTGTGTTGGATGAATCAAAATAAGCACGGCTTTGTGACCAAGATGTTCAAAAACTAGAAGGGTTGAGAATGACAAAAAAAGGAGATCTAAAGGACCGAACGCGAATTGAACACGTGACCGTTCGGACTGCAGCCGAACGCTCTACCTCTGAGCTACCGGTCCAGAAGTTGTAATTATAAGCTGATTGGACTATCTATACTATCCTCTCCTTGCATAGCATCACAATAACGCCGGCCTCTCAATGTCAAGATAGACAAAGACAACTCGGAACGCAACATCGAAAAATACCTACTCGGAGTGTCGGCGATTCATCAACCATCAGAGCAGGCTATCTATGAAGGTTCCTCTGGCAAACAACTTGCTTAAAAGAGAAGAGCGGTTTACATCGGCCTAATGTGCTGTTTTTTTTTTCTTTGGAGTCTCGAGGACACTTTGGTGGAGCACCCCTTTTTGATGTAAACAATCACCCATGCGGGCTTGAGCAGCTCTTCTCACGGCTCTGGCGTACACACTTGCTGCGTTGCCGCTCCTCGATGTCGCCTCGATTCAACAACCAAGTCCGGTGAAAACTACAAGGAAAAAGAATCAACTGAACCAAATCAATCTAAACACGAGCTACCCAGGCTGAGACTGTTTTGTGTGCCATGGTTAACGTCGGGAATCTTTCTCCCGACACCGAGAAGACGAGACCCAGGAAGACCAGAGCGCCAAGATAGCGAGTGGGCATCGGCGGATTCCGCTTTTAGTTAATAAGGTGTGTACCGAGGCATGGACAGAGCTGACTGACTCGGACCTTTCGTCACCTCCATCAGTCAGGCAATGTCAATGCGAGTGAGAACACAGGGCATGCACTGCTTCTGTGACGAGCAGCAAGCGAGCGGCGCATCGAGCACCGCAGACTCAGGTCCCCTTGCCAACGGACTGTAGTGGGCCTCGCGAAGGTTTTGAAAACACTTTGCTCAGTGAAGAGGGCATCATTGCCAAGAATTCCAGCAAGCGACCAAAAGAAGCGCGATTAGGTTTGGCGATGCGGGGGAAAAGGTTCTTCTTGTATGTAAGTGAAAATTGGCGCTGAATGGAGGAAATCGCCTGCAGGTCCCGCCCGGGCATGGGCAATGGGATTCCGCGGCGGGCGTAATAGTGGGGTTGTGTGCCTGTGAATGTCCATGTAATGTGTGGGAGAGGGAGGGTTCGGGTTCAGGTTTCGAGGCTCGAAACTTTTTTCTGCCTACGAGTCGCATATTTTTAAAAATTTCTCTCGTCACTGTCGCAAACCTACTTCCCGTACGTTTCCTGATCCCGTAGTGTGTTATAAAGCCCGTCGTCTCCGTGAGCAATTCTTGCCTTCCAGCATCAACTGCTTTTTCCCGTCAACTCGCGACTTCCAGACTTTGGTTTGCTTATCCGTATTGTCCTTATCAGGATTCCTTCGTCCCACGTCCCCCGCCACCCATACCAGTTACGTTTTGCGAAACGATAAACGCAAAAGAACCGTCAAAATGGTCCAGAAGCTTTACGTTACCTACAACGATGTTAGTTTACTCCCGGATCTCTCAAATGTGTCACGCCGACGCTGTGCGCCATTGCGCGCATTGTCCCGTTACCCTCGGCGCAAAGTAAACAAACAATGGTCAATGGCGCTAACAATGTCCTTGTCTGATTAGGTGCACAACTTGTGCCAGGAGGTCGCTCCCAAGATCCTCGAGACCTTCAACCCCCAGCTCATGATCGCCATTGGCGGCGGTGGCTACGTTCCCGCCCGTATCCTGCGCTCTTTCCTCAAGCGCCCCGGCTCTCCCAACATCCCCATCCAGGCCATCGGTCTCTCCCTCTACGAGTCTCTCGGCGAAGATGTCGTTGAAGAGCCCGGTACCAAGGTTACCCGCACCCAGTGGCTCGATCTGACTGCCCTTGGTTCCATGAAGAACCTTATCGGCAAGCGCATCCTCATCGTTGATGAGGTCGACGACACCCGCACCACCCTTGAGTACGCCGTCAAGGAGCTCCAGAAGGATGTCGAGGCTGCCCGTCAGGCCCTCGGCGGAGGCGAGGAGACCCAGTTCGCCATCTTCGTCCTCCACGTAAGTTGGCTCCCTTTTCGCAGTGCACTAGAAGTCCCGCAAATTACAATTTTCTGACGTGCCTCCAATGAACAGAACAAGGACAAGCCCAAGAAGGGTACTCTTCCCGAGGACATCATCTCCCAGGGTCGCTACTTCGCCGCTCTCACCGTCGGTGACGAGTGGATTTGCTACCCCTGGGAGGCCGGCAACATTGAGGAACACGACCGCAATGCTGCTGAGGCCAAGGCCCAGAAGGCTGCCGATGCCCAGAACTAGACGGGTGACATCCGATTAGAGAAGACGAAGCATAAAAGAGATACCCAGAGAAGAAAAGCTACGCACATACCACACCCCGATGACAAACAGGAGGACCAAAAAGCAGCGCATATAGAACGGGAAGAGCATGGAGTTGGAATTCACAAAGGAAAGGTTACATTTTTACGGTCATCATTACGGCGTCTCGGATGAGTATAGCGCGGCGATGGGCAGCGAGGATGGGAATTGATGGGTCCGCTATGAACTTTAGCCCGCTCGGTCACAACGTGGGGGAGCATAGCTGACCGATATGGCGAATGTCTACCGGCACAAAGGAACCCCCCCCCCCTTTGCCCCATACCTAAGAGGAAGTAATTCCGGCCCTGCCAAAGGGCTGTAAGCTTCATCTGGTTAGCGGTAGCCACAGTAGGGCACCACATAATCTCCTTAACTCGCCGGTGGGATATATCGTTAGCTCGGGTTACGGCTTACATATGTCGTCGAGCCAAAGCTAAAGGCTCGCACCGCCTGCTACCCGCTTCGCTGCCCGCCTTGATTCCTTGTCTATCAAGCAAGGCAAATAGATCGAGAGCGTATACCGCGCGCCAAAAACAAGAAGTAAAGTTATACAAAACAAGACCAACGTTCAACGAGCAAGGTGAATAGATCAACTTGTGAAATTTGTAGGGCTCAAATCATATCGTCATTGCCAGGTAGGCATCAAGATCCGGAAAATGCAAACACAAACGCCTTCTCAAACAAAGCACGCAGACAATAAGAGGAAGGAAAAGAGGGTGAAACTGAACTTTAAAACCGTCAATTCCAAAATGAGCTACCCAACGGTCCCCTCGCGCGCATGCTTCTCTTTCAGCCTCTTCTCTTGCTTCATGAACTCGCGGATCCCAACCGGCACATTCTTGTACAGGTTGTCGTCCCAGGTCGAAGTCAAAGTCTTTGTAGTACCGGCGGTGCCAGTCGCAGGACTCTGAGCCGTTCCAAAGTCCCAATTACTCGAACTTCCGCCCCCGTCATCATCCATACTAACGGCTCCCCTCTGGTCGACCACCGAATGCGCCGTGCCCGCCAATTCTGTGCCCTTGACTATCGTCTGCTGTTCTTGGCCATCGCCTGCTGCTGTAGAGGTAGAAGTAGAAGGAGTTTGCTGACTCCCCCCAGCCTCCACCGCCCCCGTAGCCGCCACCACACCCTCCTCGCCCAGTCCAGCCTGCTGCGCAGCAAGCCGCTGCTCGGCCTCCGCCGTCGCCGTCGCCCACGCCTCCATCTCGTCCCGGTACATGTCCCACACGCAGTTGATGCATCCGCTCATGCAGCAGTTTTCGGGCTCTTCAGGCCGTGGGGGAACGAGCACGCCGGCGACGAGCTTGGATTGAGAACGGATGGAGGCGAGACGCTCGGCCCGTCTGGCTTCGCTGGTTAGACTGGCAGAGAAGATGATGCGGGTGTTGCCGGCTTCGCCGTCTTCAAGGATTTGGGGCGAAGGAGATGAGGAGGCTTCTGGGACTGTGCCGCTGCCGTCGCTGCCGCTAAGGTCGCCGCTAGGGTTGCTGCTTGGAGTAGGATCTTGGGCACTTTGAGAGGACGTCCCCTGGGCCTAGATGGGAGCGAAATCGCATGGTTAGTAATCTAATGCAAAGAGCTTAGAAAGTGGTGGGTTGGCGCCATGGATGAAGAAGGAAGAGGAGGAGGAGAAGGACGACGAAGCATTAGTGAGATATATGAGCATGGCATTCGGGAAGTTTCTTGAGGGTGTGTCAGAATCAGAATTTGGGATCTGAGATGTGGGAGTCACAGACTTGACCACTTTGGGTTCCTTTGCCGTCTTCGGGTCCTTTTTCTTCTTCAGCTCACGGAGTTTGCGCTGCGCACAACCGCCGCATGTTTGGCCGGGACTTGCGCCGACGTCGCGGATATTGCGATAATAGCCTCATCCCCTTTCTCATCCCTTTACTTTGCTGATTCCAGTTCGGGTTCATCGGCCCAGGCAGCAGGCTCATTTTCTTCCTGCTGCTTCTTGCTTCACGGGTGGCTGCTCCTCCTTCTTCGGAGGCTCGGAAGACGTAGGGGCGGGACTCACATTGTCGTCCTGCTTCGGCTTCGGCTCCGATTCCGCTTGTTGCTTCTTCTCCAGTTCCGGCTTGGCTTCCGGCTCGGCGGGCGCAAGCTTGGTCGTGTATTTCTGGGAGGTCACCGGGGGCAACTCGGGCTTCGTGTCCGGGTAGTTTTTGCTACCCTGGAGAACGCCCTCGTAATAAGCACCAATGGGTTGCGCCTGGTCCTGGGGTCGGTCGACCGGAGTCGTAAGAGGCTCGCTTTTGCTGGGAGGGGTGCCACTGCCGCTTGCAAACATGCGCCGGGGCTGGAGGTGCTGTTGGTAGACGGCGGCGCGAGCCAAGGATCCTGCGGAGGACCGCGCAACGATAACGCTCCGTCGCATCGTTACGTCGAGATGGGGGAAGACACTATGAGGACAATATGCAGGCAATCGGAAGGCTGAATGCGACAGTAGGTACAGTATGCAAAGTATAGGTGAATATCAAGCGTGGGGGATGCAGTGGTGGGCACCGTACGACCTTTTTACGTTGTCCTTCTAGAAGCACTTAGGTGGTCGCCAAACGTTGTTTTGGTTTGGAGCTAAAAGTTGCCAAAAATGTTTCGGTAAAGGAATAAGTCACGGAATCCTGAGATCGGACAACTGGAAATCGAGTTGATGGAATTTCAGGGTCCGCGACAAAAGTCCAGGGTCAACGGGTGGGTTTGCGCTACCGAGTCAGGACCGGGAAGTCGGGAACCAACGTCATCGGGCAGGACGGACGGCAAGGGGCAGGGTGACACTACCAGCTGTACCCTATAGTCTTGTGTCCAAAAAGCTTTTCCAACTCCAACGGACCGGTAGCTCAGAGGTAGAGCGTTCGGCTGCAGTCCGAACGGTCACGCGTTCAATTCGCGTTCGGTCCTTGATTATATTTATTTTTGTCGTCAATTCCATCTCCAAAGGTCCGTTCCGTATCACCTTTTTCTGTCTTTCTTTTTCGTTTTCCTTTTCCCTCTCTTTTCCAATCACATTCGTCTTGATTCCCAGTTTACATAGGTGACATACAAGCAAGCATTCATTTCAAGCGAGACCGGTACTAGTCAGGGGTAGTCTGTTCTTTCTCGTGTTTACATGCACTTGTGCATGACCCGATGCTGAGCTGGTAGGAAGTTTTAACCGCAAAAAGTCTCATTTCTTCTTCTTCTTTTTTTTTTTTTTTTTTTTTTTTTTTTTTTTTTTTTTTCTTTGGTTCAAAAGAAGAAAAAATTTTGACATCCGAGTCTCCTTCTCTCTCGGATTTCCTTGATCAACGAGGGTGACTTGACTTAAGCGATCCGGTTTCGGGAGTTGGCAGGTGTGCCAGTTTTAATAAGGAAGTCCAATTTTGAAGCCTGCCTCTTCTGGTTTTCCCGGTATTATCCAGTTTCCAGAATTCAGTCGTGCAGTATCTTAAAGTTGACGGTCTGTCAATTGCACTCTGTGACCCCCAAAGACATGTACGTTGTGGTTGAACACCTTCGACACTGCAACTAGAAGCGCTGCCAGGTGTTGAACATTTAATACAAGCCCAGATGCACGCGAGAGGTTGAAGTCTTGAATAGAAGGTTTCAGAAGAATGAGCGACATGTGAACTCTACGTCTCGGGAGTTTTTGCTCTGTTAACCACCGACACTCTGGTTTTCACCGCCTGGCGACAGTCTCTCCAGTTCCTTTGTTCGACCCACTGGCTGATCACGACTCGAAACACTGGAGAATGAAATGTCTCGCCTGGGGTGAACAGGGCGATGGGCAGTGAAATCTCAAACTGCAATTCACATGTCGACATGGACGACCGGGCAGCCTATGCATCAACCTGCCCCAAAGCATGCCAAATTTGGTCATATGCTCGAGACCCCCATTGATAAGGTACTCACTGCACTTCATGGAGGACAGGAGGCTGACCTCGACTCCTAGCAGGAGTGGATTGGTGTCAATGGATTGATATATCCGGCATGAGGCCCGTGATGGACTGGACTTTGCTCTCACAACACACCGAAGGATATACAGTGCTAATTCGTGAGGTCTTTCACTCAAAGGCCAAGGAACAGGACAGTAAGTGGAACAACAAAAATGAGTAGTGGGTGCAGTAAAACAGAGGTTCTGGCGTAAGTACTCAGCTTTCTGAAGTGAATAGCCTGGAAGTTCGGTTCGAAAGATAGCTCAGAAAGACGGAAGGGCCAGGCGCCCACTTTTCTCGAGTCAACTGCACATTGTCGAGGTGCCGGCCATAAGTGAAAAAGGATGTTACACAAACAACTGAAGGTAAGCACAGGTTGAAATAAGACGTACGATAGATAAGACGCATAATTCTCTGTTAGGTTGGTAGGCGTCGTGCGATAAGTTCGGGTTGCGAGGTCGGTTTTTTGGCACGAGGAACTCCCCGAGATTGATGTTTGGTGCACGGTGTATTGTACCAGATAAAACACTTCTGTGTAATTTATCTTGGGAGAAATTGTTAGTGCAGAACTCACGGGCCTTGCATCACTTGCGTCAACCCGTCTCCCAAACATCTTTTTGCGGCCAACAATCCGTTATCCATCCAGACTGTGTCTGCCCGATCAAAGGAGTCCAACACTACGTCTTTGACGTTCTGGAACGACCTCCGGTGAATGCTACGGCGTGCACGGCAGGGAAAGACCTTCACAATGGGACCCACAGCCCAATCTTTCATCCGGCCCGGTAGCGACGGATACGACAATGAAACAAACGGAAAAATTCCAAGATTTCGCCGAGCCCGACTCGCGGCCGGTGACTCCCTCCCTCCCTCCCTGCATTCAGCATTTTATTAGCCAGCAAAGTCACGGTGAGTTGTCCACTCGACAACCTCGCGCCCGCAACGTCATTCGGAGGCCGACTTTTTGAGCAGAAGGTCGACATCAGCAACCCCAACCCTGAATTCTGCAGGATCTGAATGGACTTGCCGATGAAATGACCTCTGAGCAGGTCCCGCCCCCATCGGCGGCCGCTCGCATTCACTCACCCCGGTCCAGCCATGACCTCGTCACTGTCGTCCTTACCACCTCACCAACACCCTCGGCACCGTCTACTGAACTGTTGTCATCCATCATCGCCTCTTTCCAGAAGCATTGCGCTCCCCTGACCAAATGCAGAATCATCTTGGTCCTTGACACCTACGACCGCATCGCTTCCGACTCGCGACTCAAGAAAGGGACTGTTACCGCCGAGGGGGCCAAAAAGTTCGCCGAGTACAAGAAGAACGCCAAGAAACTCATCCTCGATGAGTACTCGCGGAGCTATGGCGGGGCTGAAAATGCCTTTTACGACGACGAGCTCATCATCACCGAGGGAGAGGCGGAGTTCGGCTCAGTGGCCTATGCGCAACAGCACAATGCTGTGACTCTCACCATCACCAGAACCAAAGATGGGCGCATCACCTTCATCGAGCCTCATGCGCGGGCTGGGTTTGGTTTAGGCGTGCGCTCCGCCCTACGGCTGACCGAGACGCCCTACGTTTGGATCCAGCAACACGACTGGGCGTTGGTTGCCGACATCCCCTTGGCGCCACTTCTCGAGATCATGCAACAGTCCGAGTCTGCACCGGAGTCCCCCGATTCCTCTGATTCAGAAACGACAGATGGGCAAGAGCCTCGAAGGACTTCTGACGTACCCGTCAAATATGTCTGCTTCCCATCGACCCGCATGGTGTCCTACGCCAAGTCAGACCACGTCATGCTCTATCCAGCGCTCCGAGCCTTGACAAACCTGTACAAGCAGAACTTTTCGGTTGGAAGCGGGAGTACGAGCGTCAAGATCCCTCTTACGCCGCTTTTTTTCTGGCACGACAAGCCACACCTTGCCTCGACGGCACATTACCTCTCCCAAATCTTTCCCAGCCGCGCTGCCATGTTGAGGGGCGCCTTCATTGAGGACACGGCTGGCCAACGAGCGAGGACGGAGATGAAGGACGGGATGTGGAGGAAGTGGGCCTGCTGGCTGTACTACCCTGACGAGGGGACAAAGCTGTGTGTGCGACACCTTAAGGGGAGAACGTGGCGGGGAACGGATGGCGAGCTTGTGCAAAGAATGCAGTATATGCGACTCAATTCATACAACTCCTAGTCCGATGCGCATCTTCGGCGGTGTCCACAAGGGTCAGACCGAAGCCAGAGAATAGGGGATGACGGTCATCCGTTCATTCATTTCCTGCCAGGCCTTCAAGCATGCGCTTGCAATTTCCGCCCATGCAGAATATCGGCGTTTAGAAGAGCAAAAAATAATAATAATAGCAGCATATCAACATCCACACATCTTAGATATGCTTCACCATCAGGCACTGTCCCCCGTGGTCACTACAACACTCGTTTCGCGATCGGCTTCCAGTCCTTGATATCCCTGTCAGTTGGGACCAACCAGACAACGCCGCCATTCCAGCCATTCCCTTCGGCATCACCCACCGGCTCAGTCAGCTTAACACCAGCCTTCTCCACGACCTTGGCGACCTCTTTCAACCTGTCATCGCTAATAGGCACATCGCCACTGCAGCCCTACGTTTAGCCCATCATAGCCACCATAGAGCAGGAGACAAAACCACAAGGGATAGCAACTTACTACATCAAACTAACATGCGGCCCGAATTCCTTCCTCCACCACTCCAACCACTCTTGCGTCTTGGCACCTTTCGCATCATCCTCCCCATTCACTCCTCTTGCCCTCGCCAGCCCGGCAATCTTCTTGATCCCCTCATCCAGCTTGACCCTTGCATAGCACCTCCGGTAGTACGTGTCCTGAGAGCTGATTCCCTCGAACCTCACCTGTACTTCGTCAGCGGACGGCCAGGGGATTGAGTCGAGCCAACGCTGGGGATCGTCGCCGTAGAGATCCGGTGAGATGCCGGAGCTAAGGGTCATGTGAGGAGCAAAGAATTCAGGAATCAAGCGTGCGTCGGCAGCGCCAGCCTCGGAGGGAAAATCCAAGGGGAGGCGTTGGGAGATGAGGAATGAAAGGATCGGGTAGAGAGGGTGGGTGGGAGGAGGGATTAGCCAGAGGGAGGAGCCGGGCATTTTGGGAGAGGACTACGAGAGTATTGCAATGGGTCGTTGGTTTCCGCTGTTGTTGAGTGTTTCGGCAATGAAAGTGAACCCTCAGTAGCTTGCGTTCAAATCGTGTAGACGGATAGTGATGATTTGGATAAGGATATTCTGGAGAAGGAGGAAACACGCTGTTCGGAATGTGACGACGACGCTTGGACTTCCACTGATCTTGGCGAAAGTGGAAAATCCTGGTGGTGGAGTCAGAGCAAACCCTAACCCATGCATTCGCGAGGATGATTTGGTTACGTTTGCGATGTTACCCCTGACAAACCCCTTCACAAACACGGGTCATCGCTCCAGACACACGTGGGAACAAGGCAGGGTGTGGCAGAGTCATCAAGGTTCATCGAGGAAACATTGATCTATCCTTTGAACCTCCGTCATTCTTTGATCTTGGCCCGAGGCTGACGTGGACAATGAGGATTTCCTTCGAGTCTACGACACAAGTACTAAAACCCGCCCGTCAAAGAAATTGTAGCTAACATAGTCTTTTACGGCAGGCTTCCAGAAACTATCGGACACAAAGAAGCTTGTACAAACCCACATTCTTCTCCATTTTTGTGAAGAGAGTAGCCATGTGTTAACAGCCCTACTGTTCAGTCGGCTAGGTGTGGCAATAACTTTCTACAAGCATTGGCCTTTACTCATATACCGGTGGCTGTATCCCACCCCACTGTTCGCTGCTTGAGTTTGATCCGTGCAGACTTTCACCAGCGGAGTCATTAATAACGGACAACATGTTGGACCTGATCTGGTCTGTAGATGAATCATCGGATCACCCCTCCTGGGTTGATTCATCAGAGATCTGGGACAAGGTATTGAACAAGATACATATGAAAATAACCTCCGCCCGACATGGACCCCAGATGGGGCATAGAAAAACTTACGCTCATTTCCCAAGAGTCGTATTCCGAACCAAATGCTTACTCCTTGTATCTGCTCCAACATCAAATCCCAGGTCTACTTACAGCAGCACACTTCTAGCTACCTGTTCCCCCGCACCAAGTCCAACAATTTTAGCCCGAGAAATGTCAGAGTCTTTACCAGAGCCAGTACTTCACAGAATTCCCTGCACCTGCCCTCGCGCCTCCGACTGTTCCCTCCGCTGCTACGCCCATCTTCCCACCATTCCGAGTCCTGATTCCTCTTCGTATTCTTCCGCACAGAGCTCCCGCCTCGTTCTCAAACAGCACATCCGCACAACTTTCGACCACCTACACTCCCTCTTCCAGTCCTTTATCTCTTCTACTTCCACCTCTACCAGCCTAGACCGAGATGCTGGTCACCTTTCCCGTCTCGGTTTATATTCACGCTCATCAACAGAAGATGCCTCTACCTCCTCCCATATCCCAACACTCGTGCTGCAATCTCTCCACACCCTCCTCAACCGCTCCCGCAACAGGAATCAACGACTAAACTCCCTAATAGCCGAACCGGCCAAAGATGAGGATCCAGAAGCAATACCCATGTTTCACCTCACCGTTCTCTTCAGTTCACTAATACGCAACTACGAGTTCTTCTTGGTTGATCTGGTCCCTTACTACAGAGAGGACTGGGCGGAGGGGAGAGGTAGGTGTCTGATGGCGGAGTTTCTGGGAGAAATTACAAGGGCGGAGAAGAAATTAGAGAGGTTAGCGGGGATGGTAGAGCTTGGTTGAGATTTTGGGGGGTTGAGACGGGAGAAGAAGATGGTGGATGAAGAGAAGGGATGAGTTTCGTTGGGACGCTGATACTTGCTCTGGGGACCAAACACAGGCCAGACAAGACCGAGGCTACCTACTGCGGTAGACTAGAGGTAGGAAGACGGAGCCTAGTATATCATTACACATCTATGACAAACGGCAATGGTTCAACCTTGTCACACTCGAATTCATCAACGAGTTAGAGAAGTAAAAGCATGATAGAAAGCGATCGATTGAATCAAGCAAGTATAAACTCCAGCCCTGGTAATCGTATCCCAACTCCAAACCATGCGATCCATTCCAACTTTGTCCGAGACTAGTCCAACAGTCGAATCCATTCTCATCCCTTGAATCCATGCACGTAATTGCCTACGTAAGAATTATCTTGTCAACGCCAACCCATTATCCCAATTCAAGTCTTGCGACCAATGCCGTCTGTGATGAACCAAAAGCCAGGGAAAAAATTGAAAAATGAAAGACACATGAAAGTGTGTGCCAGATGTGGTAATAGTCCGTCCAGAAATTCTATGAAATCAAAGCCAAAATCACGCTTGACCGATTCGCTAGGTATATGCGTATTTGGAGCGCTGATACATGCCGTACATTCCCTCAAAAGTCATTGTACAGCCTTGACTCCTCTCCACCACAGCCTCGTCCAATATAACCGAAATGTCTTTTTTCCGGCCCGTAGATATTCATGATTCCGGATTCTTGGTGGCGATGGTGTTGACGGCCTCCTTGTTTTCTCGTGATATCCTTGGTGTCCAGGGGCAGTCATTAGCCTTCTTCTGGGGTGGAAGAAGGCATTCTCCCCGACCGCACCACTCAGAATGTCGTCCCTGTTGGGACCCCTTATCCTTCTCCTCAATCGGCAGGGCCTGTTGTGATGTTTCCAGCCGTGCTGCCAGCAAGCTCGTCATGCTCCAGCAGAGGAAACTTGTAGAGGTACCAAACAAACGCCTTCTTTTGGTCAGAGCCGGACGCCAGGAGGGGGACACACGATAACGACGAGAGGAAGCAGGTCTAGCTAACGCTCAAATGAGCCACAGGATGAGCCAGGGGAGAATATAACCGCTGGGACTTTGGTGTATCTGTGGCGGGGTCCTGGTAGCCAACCCTTCGTTGGGGCACTCGTTCCAAGGGGTGAGAGGTGATCGCTGCTTTGGATCCAGCCGCATGCCGCCAATAATCTCGTATCGGAATCAAGCGAACTAACGCTGTAGAACTCAACATCGTCTCGGCTTACTCCAAGGTATCGCAAAGGCCTCGTGGGGTTCAAGACAGGCGTCTCGTCTAGTGAGCAGAATGTGAGATCCTGGATCATGGTACCTCTAGTGTCATGAGCCGTAACGTTTTCCCACTCGCTGCTGTTGTCTACCGCGAAAGGTACGGTGTCGGAGAGGGGTGAGGTCTTGTCGTTTACCACAGCAGATGCTAGAGGAAGGAGAAATGTGTTAGTGTCCAATGTACACCTTCCAAACGTCGATTCTACCAGTAATGGCTAAAAAAGGGTAGGACTTACGCACTTGCTCGATGATTGCCGATTGTGATTGTGCCTTTGTAGGAGGTGGGGTTATCAACTTCACCTCACGTCTGGCTTGGACAGCCTGACTGGTCGAGAGGGATGGAGAGCGGCTCTGGCGAGTCTTGTCGAGATACAGAATGGGAGGTCTCCACATGCTCGAAGCGTTACTTGCGTGTGATGCGGAATGTGACAGTTCGTCGAGGTCATCGCACCCAGTAGTGTCCTCTGGCTCTTCAGGTTGCCCCTCAATCTCAGCCACTTCTTTGGCGGTGAGTCTCTGCAAGGGAAAAGGAGAAGGGCTTCGATATCGAGGCGAGCCACGAATCTGGCTCGAGGGCCTGCTTTCTGAAGGGGACGAAAAAAGGCCGTTGGTGATCCTGTGCAACTGACGCGTCAACCGAACCTTTTGGCGCTTCATCCATGAGCGCTGTTTGGAGTGAGTGTCAAACATCGTGACTGCTTCTTTTGGGAGATTGCCGCAACCTGTCATCCAGCTCAAGCCAGGAATTGCAAAAGCAGCCATCGTAAAAGAAGTGGGGTGTGTAAAGTAGGTGTAAGTAGGTGTAAATAGTGTAAGTAGAGGAAGGTAGGCGACTGAATATGTGCTTTCGACTTGAAGTACCTACTGACTCGATTCACTTGCAAGGAGGGAAAAGAGAGATGGGAGTGGACATGGGCGAGAAGATATAGTTTACTTGACCAATCGAAAACAAAGCCACGGTTGCCTTGTCGGAGATGAGTAGAAACTGAAATCAACATGCAATGCGAGGCAATGCAGTGAAGAAAAAAAAATAAAATAAAATAAGAATATGTCCGATGCGGGCCGGCCGGAGGTCGTCGGTATGCCTGCTAAATCTCGGAGGGCTCGTTTTCGCCAACTCGTAGCCTACCTAAGCACACTTGAGGCACCGCTAGCATTGCAGACTGCTCGAGTCTTTTGAATCACCCAAACTGGAGGTACCCAAGTTGCAGTCATGGGATTGTTCCATGTGAATCTCGTAAGCTTGCACACAGATGCTGTTAGCTACTGATAACGAACGTCGCGAGATTATACGGTATATATTGAATTTGGTTTAGGGGCAGCTGCACATGTGACTGCCGCCATGTTTATCACTGGATAAGAAATTTGTTCGAAGTATGGTAGACTCCTCATCTTGTGTTGAGGATATATGGACAGGTTGCTGAGAAACCTCTGAAGGGTCTTCATCCGGCCGACGCACTGCTCGGCATCAAAGCTAATATCCAAGTAAAACCGAGTGCCTTATGCCACTTGCTCGGTATATGAAGGCGGACCTACGTCGGTAATAAACTCGGTAACTTTGGAATTAGTTGGATGAATGTCGTCTGTATACCGGTATTTCAGAACTTTCCATGGTTTGCAACTGCCGGCATCGACGTTCCCTCTCTTTAGAGTAACTGCCGGTGCATACGGCGCTGCACATATGTATTTATTTTCCCGGCATTTTATTTCAGGCCCGCCCTGCGCACAATGCACCTACCTATAAATCTTTCAGACGGACGAAAATAGCAGGTAGCCACGCAAGTCGTACCTTCCAAGTTACATCCTAAAGCCAGTACTGCACTGAATTGCTGCTGATAAGAACACTCTAGAATGGAAGCTACAGCCTGCAGAAGCTCCAACTCACATTGCACCGACACAGTACACTACATTCATCCGATACTTACCTTGCCGTATCTCTGCACCTTATCATAGGGGTACCTCCCGCTTCGTTGATATTGGCCAGGTACACGTCACTTTGTAGCCTTCGATTGTTAATGTGAATATTGTGTCCAAAAGGTACCGGTTGGGGAAGGGGACAGAGTTGGGGAAACAGACAGGAAATCTGACCCCCCTCCCCAACGGGTTGACTTCTTCCCGGTCCTGTTTCTTTCCGTGCCACTTCGCTTTCAGTTTCGTTCGTTTTTCTCTTCTCTCTTTCTTTTTTTCATTAGTCGTCGTTTAAGATCCTTTGGATAGAACTTCAAAGGCTCTCATTAACGAGACGTCAATCTGGGATTTGATACTAGACCTGATGTGCTCAAGGATGGGTAACGGGCCTAACCACATCTAGGTGAAACCGCATTGCGTATCCATACCTAGTTTTGCAGTATGTACCATGTTCTTACCAAACTGTCGGGTCTTTGA